TACCATCAGGTGGAATGTTTAAAAATGTTGTTCAGCTGACTTCAATATAAGGTATTTAGAATAACTCAAAAACTATTGGTCTGACCTTGATCAAATTCATATGGGACCACGCGAGAAGTACCAGCTTTCAAATAAAAAAAGAGTCTTCGAAATCGGTTCACGCAATTAACAGTTATGAGGTAACACAAATTAAAAGAAACAGTCGAATTGAGTACCGTCTCCTTTTTTGCAGTCGATAGAAAATAACCCTGTATACTATTAAAATTTTTAGTATTAATGAATATATCTATACAGGCTGAAAAAAAAATTAATTAAAACAATATCAATTATTCTATCCTTTTTTGGTTTTAATTCAAAATGCGTGGTAATGCACTATTTTAACTAATTTTACTGCACAATTGCCAACTGTGCAATAGTTGCCTTCGGGTTAATTTCAGATTAACCTTTTCCATAGCCGACTTCCGTGTTAAATTGTTAAAATGATCCCCTTACAACAACTTTTACAAACACTTTTAATTAGATGGGAAAAACTCTCTTGTATGTAACACTCTTATACGTGGTAGAGCCATGCTGCAGCTATATTACTGGGATAGTTGTAGCACGAATGGGTCGGCTCAACCGGGGAAGGACCACGCTCTCACAGAATATCAGCGTGAAATAGCAGCTTGACGCTGCTGTGTTTCGTTTTGTGAGTGCAGAGAACCGACCCCTATTTCAGGCACGGTCGCAGCCTGAAATTTTGGAGGGGGTTACTAATAATAAAATATGTCGAGTAAATTAGAATTTATTGCACAATACACAATTTTATTGCACACATCATAAAACAAATGGAAGTCTTTTATTTTTATTAGCAAATCGGGTGATAATATTTGAGACGTCTGGGGCTTCTCTGGATGAATATTTAGAAGGTATAAACCTGTCAGTCTCTCTTCTAACATGTTTGTTCTCAACCAAGTTTTTACACGCCTTAGCGTAGAAAATGCTCTATCTGACGTCGCACCGCTTACAGGTAGAGTTGCCAGAATTTTAAACCGTTTTTATAATTAGGTAGAGATCATCGTCGCAAACTTCGATTGTAGAAACCACACACTTAGGAAATTTTGTATCAGTATTTTCTTTGAGCTCACGTTTCCACTTTGAAATTCATAGCTGGTACACTGTGGTAGCAGGAACATTCAAGAAATGGGAATAACATTCTGTCAACAACGTCGGGAATTTAAAACTAACAATAATTAAACGCGATAGAATCCGTAAAAGTAGTTTTATTCAAAGTGTAGTGTTCGCGTAAATATTAGAAATCATAACATTCTGATACTTTCGTCACATTAAGGAGATCTTCTTCTGTATATTCAGATTTTGGCATAAAAATGCCTAATCCGAACAGGTTCATCGTATCCGCAGAAATTCGATCCTGTAGGTCAGTCATCACGCCCCCTCCCTAAACGAGTTCCCGCCTTGTCGTGGCGGGGGTCTTAGTAGCCGTGGCTTGGTCACCCGCGGTGAACAAAGAGAAATCCCTTGGCTGGCCCGTGGTGTAGGGCCGGCCCGAGGTGGCCACTCCGAGTGGGCTTGGCGAGCCCACTTCGGATGTGTCGGTGGGCTGCGGTGAGAGGGGTGTACTCTCCCCCTACCGCTGCAGCCGAGGTGTAGTCGCGGTGGAAGGGGAGTGTTGGTATGGCGATGCGCCACTCGCCATATCCTCCGCGATTCTGATGGGGCCGTACCGTTGATGCGGTGGTGGTGGGGCCGCGAGGGGAGAGGAGTGTCGGTATTTCGAGGCGCCGCTCTCCCTACTCTATGCCAATATGAGGCGAAGGTGGGACACCATAGGGTTTTAGTCGGTGCGAGTCCGACATAAACTGTCCTTGCCCCCGCGAGGCGGCTATACGTAGGCATTTCCCCATGTAAAAAAAAAGGTCAGTCATTATGCTATCTATCAGTGCAATATATAGAGTCTGTGGCGACGCACACATTTACTTATTTTATTTAAAGATATGATTATTATTTCACAGATATGTATGTATATAATTTAATATTAATATTATAATATTTATTATATTTATATTTATCTATAATACAATTACAGTCACACACATATATATTATACTATTTCTATTTATTATAGTAAATTTTATTTAAGTATTGTATTATAGTATAATTCTCGGTGCCGGCCGGTCGAAGTACATTGGAAACAAACATTCCTTTTAATTATTATCTGTACCTGAGTACTTTGCCTACGTCGCGATATGTTCAACGACCAGCCAGTCGCGATCTAATCGTCTGACGTCAATACTGTGCCGCTTGCGCCTACGCCGAACTTTGCCCTTACGCATAACTAATATTATTTGAGTGTTCTTTCCTATTTTATGCAAGTGACTGTAAACTGTGCTTCCTGCTATCATCTCTTATCTATTTGTAATCTCATCTATCGCCTTCTGCTTCTTCATGTGAGACTGTTTCTATGTGTTGTGCCGTGAAATATATAACTGTCTAACCGTAATTTATTTGTTTATTCCGGCGACGGACTTACCATCAGGTACCTTATTTACATAACCTTATTCTCCATAACTGGTGACCCCGAGCAGAACATTTAAGAAAGATGAGCAGTGACGGTAGTGACACAACGCAATCGCAAAGAAGGGCGCGGTCAACGAAAAAACGTGAGCGCGTGTCCATTGACTCGCACGATAATTCATCAGATATATTTCGTGTTGGCGTGAGAATACCACCGTTTTGACCGGAAAAACCGACGATATGGTTTTCACAAATTGAAGGTCAGTTTAGTATATCAAGAATTACGGATGACTTGACGAAATTCCACTACGTTCTTTCGCATTTGGACCGGCAGTATGGAGTAGAGGTAGAAGATATTATTACTTCGCCTCCAGCCACGGGGAAATACGAGAAACTTAAAAGTGAGCTAATCAAGCGTCTTTCTATTTCGAAAGAAAAGAAAGTGAAACGGCTCCTACAGTCGGAAGAGTTAGGTGACCGCAAGCCATCACAGTTCCTGCGTCACCTGCAACACCTCGCTGGCCCTACGATACCAGACGATTTTTTGAGGTCACTTTGGACGAGCCGCCTTCCAAGTAACCTGCAGACCATCATCGCATCCCAGATGAGCCTGTCCCTCAGCAAACTCGCTGACCTGGCAGACAGGGTCCACGATATCTCACCGGCATCGCCACTGGTTGCAGCAACATCCAGCTCCAGAGTGGACTCCACACTAGATATTATGGCACGGCAAATCTCGGAACTGACAAAACAGGTTAGTGCACTCACTACGAGACTTAACGACCGCTCTCGCCCCCGCCAACGACAGACGTCACGTGGGCGAAGCCGTACGCCATCGAGAAGATCCCAGTCTAATTACAGGAAGTTCCCCAACTGCTGGTACCATCACAAATATGGTAGCAAAGCGAAAAGGTGCATTCAACCATGTGACTACAGATCGGGAAACGCAACAGGCAATCTATAATGGCGACTGAAGATTGCCCGTCCCCTACTACTGGTCGCCTTTTCGTGACAAATCGCAGATCGCGAGTTCAATTCCTGGTGGACACTGGAAGCGACTTATGCGTCTTCCCTCGATCTGCGCTTCATCAACGACGTGCGAAGACGGACTACCAACTGTGTGCAGCCAACGGTTCGCCAATAAAGACATATGGTAATGTTGAGCTCAATCTTAATTTAGGCCTACGTAGAGACTTTGTGTGGCGCTTTACTGTAGCTGATGTAACTAAAGCTATTATAGGCGTAGATTTTTTGTCACATTTTAACCTTATTGTCGACGTTCGTAATAAGCTTTTAATTGATGCCACTACTAAATTGTCAGCTGTAGCTTCTATTTCTTCTAGCGATAGCCATATTTTGAGTGTAAAGGTCGTGACTGGTGATTCTAAATTTCATAAAATACTTTCTGAATTTCCAGAACTGACACGACCGGCAGGCGCTCATCGCACACCCAAACATCACACAGTACATCACATCTGTACCACGCCAGGCCCTCCAGTATCGTGTACACCACCCAGACTCGCCCCGGACAAGCTGAAAATTGCTAAGCTCGAGTTCGAGGCAATGTTGGCAAATGGAACTGCTCGAACTTCCCAGAGCCCCTGGTCGTCACCACTACACCTCGCTCCCAAAGAAGACAATGGTTGGCGACCATGCGGTGATTATCGCATGCTCAACGCCCGGACAGTGCCAGATAAGTACCCTATCCGACACATACATGACTTTGCCCACAATTTATCTGGTTGCAAAATTTTTTCAACCATAGATCTGGTGAAGGCGTATAACCAGATACCAATCTTTGAGGCCGACATTCCCAAATCCGCCATTACGACACCTTTTGGACTCTTCGAGTTCCCATATATGACGTTCGGATTGCGCAGAGCTAGTCAGATGTTCCAGAGGTTCGTTGATGAGATGACCCGTGGTCTAGATTTTTGTTACCCATACCTTGACGATTTTCTTATATTTTCACGCGATGAGTTAGAGCATGAAAAACACCTTCGTCAAGTATTTATAAGGATGAAGGATTACGGCATGCTCATCAACACCGCTAAATGCGTTTTCGGTGCATCAGAGGTAACATTTCTAGGCTACAACATCTCACAACATGGAACGAAACCTCTGGAAGGTAAAGTTCAGGCTATAAAGGATTACCCTGTTCCTAAGACAGCCAAACAGCTTAGGAGGTTCTTGGGCATGATAAACTTTTATAGGAGGTTTATCCCCCAAGCTGCCAAAATCCAAGTACCCTTGAACGCCTTATTGACTGGCGCTGTTAAAGCATCGCATCCGGTCAATTTAAATGGAGACTCGTTGAAAGCCTTCGAAGAGTGCAAGGAAAGTTTATGCAATGCAGCATTGTTGGCACATCCTGACTCAAAGGCAAAGCTAGGTCTTGTAACTGACGCTTCTGATCTTGCAATAGGTGGAGTCTTGCAACAGTAAATTGGTGGTGATTGGCAGCCCCTAGCCTTTTCTCTCGTAAATTGAGCCCGTCGCAAAGGAAATACTCACCATACGATAGGGAGCTCCTTGCTGTTTACGAGAGCATTAAGTACTTTAGACATTGGCTAGAGGCAACACCATTCACCATCTATATCGACCATAAGCCGCTGTGCTTTGCATTTCGCGAACGAAAGGCAAATTGCAGTCCACGGCAATTTAGACATCTAGACTACATATCACAGTTCTCAACCGACATACAACACATCGCCGGGAAAGATAATGTCGTTGCTGACACGCTTTCCCGGGTTGAGCAGGTCGATGAACTGCTAAGCCCTGTAGATCTAGATGTCATTGCCAAGGCTCAAGACTCCGATCCTGAATTTGCAGATTTGTTAAGGCAGGACACTTCCTTACAAGTTCAAAGAATAAAGATACCTGGTAGTCGCAATGAACTGTACTGCGACGTCAGCACAACGACTCCCAGGCCTTTAGTCCCTAAAGCCTTACGCAAGCGAATTTTTGATAGCTTGCACTCGCTAAGCCATCCCGGCGCTAACGCTAGCGCAAAACTTGTGGCAGAACGCTTTGTCTGGCCACTGATGAGGAAAGACTGTCGCGAATGGTCTAAGGCGTGTTTGGCATGCCAGCGCACAAAGGTAAATCGACACGTTTCGACGCCTTTTGGTACGCTCGATTTACCTACGGCGCGATTCAAATACGTCCACTTAGACCTTATCGGACCTTTACCTCCGTCTGGTGAGTATCGGTACTGTTTGACAGCTGTCGATCGCTTCACGCGATGGACTGAAGCTGTACCACTAAAGGATATCACCGCGGAATCAGTGGCTAAAGCGTTTTTATCGGGATGGATAGCGCGGTTCGGTTGCCCTACCGATATTGTTACCGATCGCGGTAGGCAATTCGAATCAGCACTATTCGCGCAGTTATCAAGGTTCATTGGCTTTAAGCACCGCAGGACTACCAGCTATCACCCTCAATGCAATGGTCTCGTCGAAAGATTTCATCGGCAATTAAAAACAGCAATCATGTTCGGCATCGGCAATTAAAATCAGCACCATGCAGGGGTATGGTGTGGATGGTCGATTGCTAAGGGCTGTGCAGTCTCTTTACTGTGACTGTAAAACCTGTGTGCGGGTAGGGCATGACCTGTCACCCATGTTTAACGTCCAAACGGGCGTAAAGCAGGGTTGTGTCATGTCTTCCTGGCTGTTCATACTGTATCTCGACAGCTGTTTACAGAAGCTGAAAGATAGTTGTTTGGGTGTGAAATTGGGTGACATTAAAGTAAATTGTCTGCTGTATGCTGATGATGCAGTGCTTATTGTACCATCAGAGGCAGAACTGCAGGCATTAGTCACGTGTATGAAAGAGGAATGTGAAATTAAAGGTCTCCGTTTGAATGCTAATAAAACTAAGGTTCTGGTATTTGAAAGGGACGAAGAGAGAACGAAGTGTGAAATATGGGTAAATCAGGAATGTCTAGAACAGGTAAATGAAATTGTATACTTGGGGAGTGCTTTTAGCCGGGATGGAAGATGTGATTTAGATGTGGACAGGCGTGTCGCTGCCGGGAACAAAGTCAATGGTGCCCTGACTGCGTTAGTCAAAAGGCAAGGCGTAGCGAAGAGTGCACGCCTTGCAATACATAACGCAGTGTTGGTACCGACTTTGTTATATGGCAGCGAAACCTGGGTATGCCAGAAGAAGCATAAAAGTAAGTTGAATGCAGTGGAGATGCGATCTCTTCGTAAAATGTGTGGCGTTACCATGGCCGACCGAAAGCGAAACGAAGAGATTCGCAATATGGCAGGTTTGAAAGATGACCTTATCACAAAAATTGATAAGGGCGTGCTTCGGTGGTTTGGGCACGTTGAGCGAATGAGTGAAGACCGAATGGTGAAGAAAATATATAGCGCGAAAGTTAATATTAAAAGGTGTCGAGGTAGACCGAGACTAACTTTCGAAGACCATGTGAGTAAATTGCTCGAAGAGGGTAGGGTCAAAAGTACTCGGATACCTAGACGTGCATGCATGAAGAAGATAATGAATCTGAAAGAAGCGAAAGAGGTTTGTAAGGATCGTGACACTTGGCGATCTGTTCTCTCCGGCTACCTCGTCAGGGATTGTGCGTGAAGATAAGTATGTGCCATGCCGATAGCAGTTGGACTGAAGCTTTGCCAATTGTGCTTCTCGGCATAAGAAGCTCTTTCAAAGAAGATCTTCAGTCTTCCTCAGCCGAGTTAGTATACGGCGAGCCATTGCGACTTCCTGGTGAATTTTTTGGCCACAAAGTTGACAAATGTACGACTGACATAACGGACTTTTCAGCCCGTATCAGATCATTTGCCAATAAGTTACAGCCAGTGCCAACTTCGCACCATGCGAAAAACAAAATCTTTATTTATAAAGATCTAACATCTTGTTCGCATATTTTCCTCAGAGAAGATAGGTTGAGAGGTGCGTTACAACCAGCATATACTGGTCCTCACGAGGTGGTTGAGAGAAATGAAATAACTTTTAAAATCAGAGTAAAGGGCAAAGTCGTGACAGTATCGGTAGACCGACTGAAACCAGCCTACATACTGTCCCACTCCAATGATCCCACTCCAACTCCTTCTCCACCACTTAAACCAACTCCTAATCCCACACCCACTCCACTTCCAAATAGCAGCCCATCGTCAACAACTGCGTGCAAAACAACTCGTTCTGGGCGCAGAGTACATTTCCCAGATTATTATCGCCCGTAGACACGGTCTCTGGAGGGGAGTGATGTGGCGACGCACACATTTATTTATTTTATTTAAAGATATGATTATTATTTCACAGATATGTATGTATATAATTTAATATTAATATTATAATATTTATTATATTTATATTTATCTATAATACAATTACAGTCACACACATATATATTATACTATTTCTATTTATTATAGTAAATTTTATTTAAGTATTGTATTATAGTATAATTCTCGGTGCCGGCCGGTCGAAGTACATTGGAAACAAACATTCCTTTTAATTATTATCTGTACCTGAGTACTTTGCCTACGTCGCGATATGTTCAACGACCAGCCAGTCACGATCTAATCGTCTGACGTCAATATTGTGCCGCTTGCGCCTACGCCGAACTTTGCCCTTACGCATAACTAATATTATTTGAGTGTTCTTTCCTATTTTATGCAAGTGACTGTAAACTGTGCTTCCTGCTATCATCTCTTATCTATTTGTAATCTCATCTATCGCCTTCTGCTTCTTCATGTGAGACTGTTTCTATGTGTTGTGCCGTGAAATATATAACTGTCTCACCGTAATTTATTTGTTTATTCCGGCGACGGACTTACCATCAGGTACCTTATTTACATAACCTTATTCTCCATAAGTCCTCCGATAATATTTCTCGTCATTTCCTTGATAATTATCGCGAAGTCTGTCAGTAATTTTTTGAAGATTTTTCAATTTGAAGTGTACGATTTGGGGGGGGGGGGATCATGCCTCCTGTGACCCTCCCCTTCGGACCTCGCCTGCCCTTTTTACTGGAAACTAGGCATTCCATCTTACTCGTAGTCCTAATGGGTGACAATACATCTGCATTTTGATTCGTAATCGAGGATAGATGTAGATGTCTATGGGCCACAGCAACCACTTATCAGATGTACTGTGTGCTCGTTTGTCATTCTTATCTAATAAAAAAAGAGTTGCTCTAATAAAAAATTATTGCATACTAAAGAACAGTAATAATCTGTCATAGAGTTTGACAGATCAATAAAAAAACTAAAAAGCAATGTCAAATATAAGCACAATAACGCATCGATTTAAAACTCAGCCCTCAAATGTAATGTGCTTGCGAAAAACCTAATAGCTCATAGAGCTCAAATATATTACTTATCTTATTTATTGAAGTGAATACTTCTTTAGCATCGTTGTGATTAGAAACTCAATGAAACAAAAACGCGACACTAAAAAGAGACAATTATATAAATCTATACAACAGAATGAGATAGAATCTATACTAATATAATAAAGCGGAAGAGGTTTTTTGTTTGCTTAAATTCGCTAATCACTGGAACTATCAGTCCAATTTGATAAATTATTTCTGTATATGATAGTCAGATTCACGAGGAATAGTTAGAGGCTATCTTTTATTAGGCTACACTTAGCTAGCCTTAAATATTGATTTCTGTTAAGCAAATCGAAAGAAAAAGCGCTCCCGAACTGCTTTATCCGCGTGCGCTGGCGTAGTGGTTAGTGACACTTAAATACTATATTCCAAAAAATATAGATTTTGCTTCCATCTAAAAAAAGTTTGCAGTACCATAGGGCCTATTTCTTACATATAAACCACAATAAAGTACTTGGTGACAAAAAATATTGAAAATTAAAAAGTTATTTATGAGCGTTATTATTAGGCATAGCATATTAATCCTTACGAACGAAAGTTACTTCATCATCAAGAAAGTTTTATGAAGATAAACTTTGTTCTTTATAGTATGTTATTTGGACGCATAGTTTAAGAGATAATGAAAAATTCAAATAATTCAACACTCGGCTTGGCGCGCGAACGTCGCCTGACCACCCGATGAGAAGCGAGCTCTATATATATATATAAATTAAACTGTTAAAATAAGGAATTATAAATATACTATAAAATAAATAAAATTATGCAACTATATTTTGAATAAAATTGTCATATCGAAACCATTCTTAACAATCTACGATTTCATATCTTACCGATTTATATAAAATTAGTCAGTCGCGTTTAGACCATCTAGTGTTTATTTTACGGACCACCTTGAGAATCAATCAATGTTTGGGATATAAAATTATTTTACCTATAAAATGAAGTATACGTCGCTATGACAAAGCAAATTCAGTCAAACTGAGGATTGCACATGTCACATTGTTTGTCCGCGATGAACTCCTAAACGAATTTAAGAATTTTTTTATAAGACAAAGGGTCATCGGAGAGGGCAGTACAACGTCTGCCTGGTCAGCTAAAAATAAATTAAACGTGTATTATCTTTCAATTTTTACAAGAATGATTAAAATCCCTCAGCGTTTTATGACTTACCGCATAATATAAAATAAAAGAACAACGCATATCATTTTATATTGTGGATTTGTAAAGGTTTAAGCGTCAATAAATTGTTAAAACCTAAATTACACAGAAGCAGTAGTGGCGGTGTAAGAATATCCACTACCCTGTCGACAGAGGGAAACTGAACCAGGATGGGCAGCGACATCTTCCTGATAACATCATCATCATCATTACAGTTTTTCACAAGTCCACTGCTGAACATAGGACCGTGATTTGTGGCATTCCTTGGACCTCCTCCAAGGAATGCCACAAAGTACGATCCTCAGCTACCTACATCAATTGATTTTCGTATGTCTCACCAGGTCGGCACTTCATCTAGTGGGATAGCAGTTGAATAAAAATAAAGAACTACGGTTGTCAGCCCGCTTGCCAAGCGTGGCAACTATAGCAGATATCCCCCCTATTAAGTCTTAAGGGAAGGCTTACGTTCAGCAATGGACTTTTGATAGGTGGTAATGGTAATGGTAAATTACCCAGACCATGTGACCAAGGAACTGCGCTCACCAAGCAGTCCAGTTTTTGGTTATTTACGCGCGGTTTTTAGATGATAATAAACGCAAAAAAAACACAAAATTGACGTTAATAATGACGTATCAAAAACTGAACTCTAATTTTATACATTGAAGAAATTTTTGTATTTCTATTCATTTATTTAGGTACTAGAGCCACGTTGCAGCCACATTATGGTTGTATAGATCGGTTCGACCAGGTAAGCACCACGCTCTCATAGAATCACAGCGTAAAATAGCAGCTCAATGCTGCTGTGTCGTTTGGTGAGTGTAGAGAACCGGAGACCATTTTTAACTGGAAACCAGGCATTCTATCTTAGTCCTTAGGGGTAACACCGCATCTTCATTTTGATGTTAGTGCAGGAAAGATGTAGATGACTATGGATCGTGGCATCCACTATCATAAGGTGGACTATATGCTCGTTTGTTACGCTAATCCATAAAATAAAACATTTTCTTGACGTCATTATCTATTACGACGCGGTGATTCCACCGCTAGATAAAAACATTTTTGTGCTATTGTACAAGTTGCTGATTGCAGACGGCTTGACGAGCCCAGAACGCAAATCTTATTTGTACATAATGTTTCTTTTCACTATCGGTTAGCAGTTCCTTTCCATACCGTTACAATCGTTCGTTAGTGAACAGGATGCATTGCGTACTAGTACATTAAAAAGTACAAAACAACGTGTTAATGGTAAATATGAATCGTATATTCCCTCTTATAACAATATCATTTCTTATCATACATATAATCTAGGAATAAGTTTTCTTAAATTGATAGGGAAAATTCGTACGGTGCTAATTTATGAGGCCACATTAAGCTATAATTTATTTTTAAAGGCATTTTAAAGAAAATTGAATATTTATAAGAAAAGTAAGGGGATATTTTAGTAATAACATAGACGAGAGTTTGAAATATAGCCGGGGATAGTTTATATTTTACAGCTTGCATTATCATAAAATTGTCGTTAACGCAACAAAAAAAGTACGTAGTGAGCGGAAGTTTCCAAGATTTATTCTCATGTGGTCGAATGCTACCATTTAGAAAAATTAAAAATAAGTGTCTTACATATAAAAAAATACAAATATTAATCTTCTGTTTTGTATTCATTGAGCATAAAATTTTCTAAATTTTAAATGACACACATATATTTTGATTTAGGGCCGATTTTTTAATCGTAAGATAAAAGTTATTCATGCGATAAAATGAAATATAAACAAATTAAATTAATAAAATATTTCAATTGATTGACTTTTATATTCTGTCAGGTTATAATTTATTTGATTGATAATTATTATCTGACAATTGAAAGTCAGCCATTAATTTTTATTACATAACTAGCTGTTCCCCACGACTTCGTCCGCGAGGAATTTATTGCGGTTGCATTTTATAGGTTATGATTTTTTTTGCGCGGAACCCTGTTTTTCTAAAATAAAAGTAGCCTAAGTTACTCCTTATAATATCAGCTATCTGCCAGTGAATGTCCCGTCAAAATCGGTCCAGCCAGAGATTAGCCGGAACAAACAGGCAGATAGACAGAAATTTATAAATTGTTTTATTTTTTTGTTATAAGTATCGTGTATACTTGCATATAAATTTAGTAAAAAAACTGTTATTTTGACATTACAAACACACACTTCAATTTTATTTATTTGTATATAGATAAAACCGTATAGAAGCGAAGAATAGAATAAAATGAAATGGAATGGAAGGGAATGGAATAGATAGATGGAGAAATTAAATGTAAAGGAAATAAAGGGAATATAATGGGATGGAAGAGAATAGATTGAAAGAAAATGGAGTACAATAGAATAGCATAAATGAGGATCTATGGGGAGGCCTATGTTCAGCAGTGGACTTTCATTGATTGTAATAAATATATTTGACAAGTGTATGACAAAGAGCTCTTTACAAAGTATAAAAGACAAAAACATTTATTCCAACATTTACAAATTTTAGTTAAAGAAAACAAAGTGACTTATTAACAAACAAACCAAAGGGGAAAGAAAATTATAAATAGAAGTACGATCATAATATAGGTATGCAAACACATATTAAAATAAAAATATCGTCTGCTATGATGAAGTGGTGGAATGGGCCGTGTCAGCATATAAGCCGCGATATTGCAGCTCTGAT